TTCAAAGCAGCTTAACTGGAATAGTGAGCCATGAATCACCACAAGACTGTTTGTGGAGAAATCTTCAGCTTTTATGTTATGTTTAATCTGTATAAGTGAGATTTAGAGCTCTAATACCCCTCCTGAAATACTCTCAATAAAAACTTTGGGAAAAATAGTGTTCAAAACACATGTATTGGTTGATGCAAGTTGCAAAAATGACGGTAGTCTTGTTTCTGAATCATTTCTATGACAATATCATATATCATGATATTTAATATGGGATATAACCCCACAACATTCCTATTGTGTCACAGTAAATCTGGCGCTGAAGTGGCGCCAAGGATTGGTAAACCAAGCAATGTAAACCACCCCAGCCTTCTAAGAGTATTATTGTTTCAGTCCTCATTGATTTTGGGGTAATTTGTTGTGTACTGTCGTTCCGAATCGGCAATAAAAGATTATTATCATTTTCACGAGCTTCTCAACAAGGCTTCTGCCAGGGTTTGGACAAGTATGGTTGGGGATGAAATGTGGCTATCATATTTTTCCGAGATAAGCTGCGGAGAGTATGAAAATGCATGTTTCCGAGTCAGAAAGTTGTTGAGTGCCACTTAAGGAGAATATTGATTCAGTTATCAATATTGACAATTATGAGATGTGTACATGCTACAGATGTTTTGTTAGTTTTCTTATTCTACCGTAGGCTTGAGTGCATAAAGTTTTAGTTTGACATTGATTTATGATGCTTTTGATATATTTGTATTTTTTGTCTTGAGATTGTATTGCTTTGTTTGTGTGTTGTTTAACGCCGCACTCAGCAATATTCCAGCTATATGACGGCGGTCTGTAAATAATCGAGTCTGGACCAGACGATCCAGTGATTAATATCATGAGCATCGATCCAAGTAATTGGGATCGATGACATGCATCAACCAAGTCAATGAGCCTGACCACCCGATCCCTTTAGTCGCCTCTTATGACAAGCATAGTCACCTTTTACGGCAAGCATGAGTTGCTGAAGACCTATTCTACCCCGAATCTTCATGGGTCGAGATTGTATTGAAACAATGTTTTGAGTTACAGCTTTCAAATACCGTATTTTCTTGAGTATAGTGTGCACTTTTTAAAAAAAAAAACACAACTGTGTAGAAGGGGGTGCTCATTTTACACGCAATAATGAGTTTTGATGTTTACTTGTTTTCAAAGATTCTTTCAGGGTGTTTACTGACAAGTTGAAAATGATTTGAGTGTGTTTGCATTATTTGTTTCAGTGTGATATATATGTAGACAGCTTATATGTCTGTGAAACTATAGCTTCAAGAGTTTGCTTATCATGCGACTGGGTTTTAATCAGGATTGTGAAAACAGTTTGCTATTGTTCCCATGGCAACATCATGACAGTACCAAACTTGTTGGGGATACCGTACTTCATGGTGTGTTTGTTGTTTAACACCAGCTAAATGTAGCGGCCTGTTAATAATTGAGTCACGACCAGACAATCCAGTGATCGATATTGTGAGCAACGTCGGGGTACAATAACATGCAATCAACCAAGTCAGCAAATCTGACTCACGATCCATAAAGTTGGCTCCTACAACAAGTGTAGGTTCCTGGGCACCAGTTCTAACCTGGAATCCTCTCTGGGTTCACATGTTTAGTTGTTGTGTGGTGTTACCAAACTTCATGGTGATAACATACTTCATACCTGGTGTGAGTGAGTCCACACCAACAGGTGCGTAGCCCTTCCCAGCCCCAGTTCAGTCTTCTCTAGACAAGCAGACCACACCAGCAGGTGCGTAGCCCTACCCAACCCCAGTTCAGTCTTCTCTAGACAAGCAGATCACACCAACAGGTGCGTAGCCCTACCCAACCCCAGTTCAGTCCTCTCCAGACAAGCAGACCACACAAGCAGATGCTTAACCCTTTTCAACCCCAGTTCAGTCCTCTTCAGACAAGCAGTCCACACCATCAGGTGCTTAACCCTTTTCAACCCCAGTTCAGTCCTCTCCAGACAAGCAGATCACACCAACAGGTGCGTAGCCCTACCCAACCCCAGTTCAGTCCTCTCCAGACAAGCAGTCCACACAAGCAGATGCTTAACCCTTTTCAACCCCAGTTCAGTCCTCTTCAGACAAGCAGTCCACACCATCAGGTGCTTAACCCTTTTCAACCCCAGTTCAGTCCTCTCCAGACAAGCAGATCACACCAACAGGTGCGTAGCCCTACCCAACCCCAGTTCAGTCTTCTCTAGACAAGCAGACCACACCAGCAGGTGCTTAACCCTACCCAACTCCAGTTCAGTCTTCTCTAGACAAGCAGTCCACACCATCAGGTGCTTAACCCTACCCAACCCCAGTTCAGTCCTCTCCAGACAAGCAGTCCACACCATCAGGTGCTTAACCCTACCCAACCCCAGTTCAGTCCTCTCCAGACAAGCAGTCCACACCATCAGGTGCTTAACCCTACCCAACCCCAGTTCAGTCCTCTCCAGACAAGCAGTCCACACCATCAGGTGCTTAACCCTACCCAACCCCAGTTCAGTCCTCTCCAGACAAGCAGTCCACACCATCAGGTGCTTAACCCTACCCAACCCCAGTTCAGTCCTCTCCAGACAAGCAGTCCACACCATCAGGTGCTTAACCCTACCCAACCCCAGTTCAGTCCTCTCCAGACAAGCAGTCCACACCATCAGGTGCTTAACCCTACCCAACCCCAGTTCAGTCCTCTCCAGACAAGCAGATCACACCAGTAGGTGCTTAACCCTACCCAACCCCAGTTCAGTCCTCTCCAGACAAGCAGATCACACCAACAGGTGCGTAGCCCTACCCAACCCCAGTACAGTCTTCTCTAGACAAGCAGTCCACACCATCAGGTGCTTAACCCTTTTCAACCCCAGTTCAGTCCTCTCCAGACAAGCAGTCCACACCAGCAGGTGCTTAACCCTACCCAACCCCAGTTCAGTCCTCTCCAGACAAGCAGTCCACACCAGCAGGTGCATAACCTTTTTCAACCCCAGTTCAGTCCTCTCCAGACAAGCAGTCCACACAAGCAGATGCTTAACCCTTTTCAACCCCAGTTCAGTCTTCTCCAGACAAGCAGACCACACCAGCAGGTGCTTAACCCTACCCAACCCCAGTTCAGTCCTCTCCAGACAAGCAGTCCACACCATCAGGTGCTTAACCCTACCCAACCCCAGTTCAGTCCTCTCCAGACAAGCAGTCCACACCATCAGGTGCTTAACCCTACCCAACCCCAGTTCAGTCCTCTCCAGACAAGCAGTCCACACCAGCAGGTGCTTAACCCTACCCAACTCCAGTTCAGTCTTCTTTAGACAAGCAGTCCACACCATCAGGTGCTTAACCCTACCCAACCCCAGTTCAGTCCTCTCCAGACAAGCAGTCCACACCATCAGGTGCTTAACCCTACCCAACCCCAGTTCAGTCCTCTCCAGACAAGCAGTCCGCACCATCAGGTGCTTAACCCTACCCAACCCCAGTTCAGTCCTCTCCAGACAAGCAGTCCACACCAGCAGGTGCTTAACCCTACCCAACCCCAGTTCAGTCCTCTCCAGACAAACAGTCCACACCATCAGGTGCTTAACCCTACCCAACCCCAGTTCAGTCCTCTCCAGACAAACAGTCCACACCATCAGGTGCTTAACCCTACCCAACCCCAGTTCAGTCCTCTCCAGACAAGCAGTCCACACCAGCAGGTGCTTAACCTTTTTCAACCCCAGTTCAGTCCTCTCCAGACAAGCAGTCCACACAAGCAGATGCTTAACCCTTTTCAACCCCAGTTCAGTCTTCTCCAGACAAGCAGACCACACCAGCAGGTGCTTAACCCTACCCAACCCCAGTTCAGTCCTCTCCAGACAAGCAGTCCACACCATCAGGTGCTTAACCCTACCCAACCCCAGTTCAGTCCTCTCCAGACAAGCAGTCCACACCATCAGGTGCTTAACCCTACCCAACCCCAGTTCAGTCCTCTCCAGACAAGCAGTCCACACCAGCAGGTGCTTAACCCTACCCAACTCCAGTTCAGTCTTCTCTAGACAAGCAGTCCACACCATCAGGTGCTTAACCCTACCCAACCCCAGTTCAGTCCTCTCCAGACAAGCAGTCCACACCATCAGGTGCTTAACCCTACCCAACCCCAGTTCAGTCCTCTCCAGACAAGCAGTCCACACCATCAGGTGCTTAACCCTACCCAACCCCAGTTCAGTCCTCTCCAGACAAGCAGTCCACACCAGCAGGTGCTTAACCCTACCCAACTCCAGTTCAGTCCTCTCCAGACAAGCAGTCCACACCATCAGGTGCTTTACCCTACCCAACCCCAGTTCAGTCCTCTCCAGACAAACAGTCCACACCAGTAGGTGCTTAACCCTACCCAACCCCAGTTCAGTCCTCTCCAGACAAACAGTCCACACCATCAGGTGCTTAACCCTACCCAACTCCAGTTCAGTCCTCTCCAGACAAGCAGTCCACACCAGCAGGTGCTTAACCTTTTTCAACCCCAGTTCAGTCCTCTCCAGACAAGCAGTCCACACCATCAGGTGCGTAGCCCTACCCAACCCCAGTTCAGTCTTCTCCAGACAAGCAGTCCACACCATCAGATGGATGGACGTTTCCTGGATGTACTAGGCTGTCCTCTGAGGACAAAACTACTTGCCATCTATCTCTAGTGCTTCATGGTTAATAATTAACATGTTGCTAGTGCTGTAGATAATTAGTAATATTAACAAGGGAGCAGCTGATAGAGAACTAACATGTCTTACACCATGAAGAATCCCTGGAGAATGGGTGCCAGCATATTGCCAATTGGGTTAAATATGGTAATACCGTAACGCCCTGGGCATAAGGCCAGCAACAACACTAATAAAATTATCGATGAAGGACTATGAAACTGTACAGTGAACACTCACTATGAAAAAGAAACTGGTGAAATACTTATATGACAAACATGATTATGTACTGATCAACACACTAACAGAAAGCTTTCAGTTTTTGAAGAGGGTTAGATTAAGCTCGTATATCTCTCCCGACAGGTGCAATGTCTGTCTTGTCTTGCCTGGGGGACCTCATCTGTGAGACTAACACAAATAACATGAAAAGGGCAGTATGATTTCATAAATCTTTCAAGATGTTCCCACCTGCTACCCCTTGACATGGTTTCTCCTTGATATTCTACCAGAGGGACTACATGGGGAATCTCATATGTAAGATGATACCATTATGTGTCCAAGGGGTATTAGGATATGTGCCATAAAATGGAATTGGATCCCCAAGCAACTTTGATGAGCAAATCATATAGAATTAGTGTTTGATATGGCTAGGCCTGGAGGGCAGGATAGAAATAAGTTTGTAATAAAGTTTTTGTTCCGATACTAATAAGATTTCCAGGTGATCTAACTCAACGCGTTTTTATCTTGTTCTTTTATGATATTGCAGGGAAGGAGGTTTATGGTGAATCTGATTGAATTATGAATGCTTTTGTGTTATGAAATGAACAAAGCCTGTTGTGAAACTGAGATTAGATGTAAGCCCAAACCTTTGCTTGGAAGACAAAAAGAGGGAATAAAATGTTAGTTTATCATTTGAAGGGGAAGCTGGTTCATATCATGATGGGGAAATATTTTGATGTATGCACCGTGCAGTAACACAATTTGCAGAACAAGAGCAGACTAAGAGAACCTCGGATTAAGGTACCAGATATTTATAGGCTACACAGGATGGAGCACAGTGCTAATTTTATGTTTTTGTTGAGGTATTTTTTTTATGTTGCTTCTCTACTAATATTTTTTTCACGGGTTTAATTTTGGGTTTTGGATACACAAGAACATGCATATGTATTGTATTTTATGAAATGGAATAATGTGTATACATTTTGAAAATAATACAAAAATGAGAATTTATATTTAATTTAAACAACATCACCCCATGGTGGTTATGTCAGTTTTTTATATACTACTCGAAAGAAGTCAGAGAACACCCAGTTCTTTCATGTACTACAGGGGGGCACGGGTGGCCCAGTCGTCTAAGGTGCCACAATTCGCTGTGCAGAGTTGCGTCCCTTGGGCACGCCAGAAACCTATGATTGTGGGTTCGAATCCCGGTTCACCCCAATTATGTTTCTAGGTTTGTCAGCACCATACCCGTGCTCGTGGGTTTCACCGAAGTGGTAAACGTCTGAGACCTGCATCACTTTGGGCTTTCCTCCCACATTAAGCTGACACGCCGTGATGTAACTGGAATACTGTTAAAAGCGGTGTTAAACCCAACTCACTCACTCACTCACTCATGTACTACAGTTAATGTGTTCTTTAACTGCTTCTGGGAAGTATATGATGGTGAGAGGAGATCTCGAATCACTGGTTGATTTGTGTATCTGAATATGATAGATATGTGGTTCTTATGCCAGGAAACTTTTATGGGGTGGGGAGGGTACAGGATACTTTGATGGAGGAGGATACTGGGTACTTATGTCAGGTACTTTGATGGAGGAGGATACTGGGTACTTGGTCAGGGTACTTTGATGGAGGTGGTTACTGGGTACTTAGGTCAGGATACTTTGATGGAAGAGGATACTTGGTATTTAGGTCAGGATACATTGATGGAGGAGGATACTGGGTACTTATGTTAGGATACTGGGTACTTAGGTCAGGATACATTGATGGAGGAGGATACTGGGTACATAGGCCAGGGTACTGGGTACTTATGTCAGGACACTGGGTACTTAGGTCAGGATACATGGATGGAGAGGATACTGGGTATTTAGGTCAGGATACATTGATGGAGGAGGATACTGGGTACTTTTGTCAGGATACTTTGATGGAGGAGGATACTGGGTACTTAGGTCAGGATACATTGATGGAGGAGGATACTGGGTACTAAGGTCAGGATTCTGGGTACTTAGGTAAGGATTCTGGGTACTTAGGTCAGGATACTGGGTACTTACGTTAGGATACTTGGTACTTAGGTCAGGATACATTGATGGAGGAGGATACTGGGTACTTATGTCAGGATACTGGGTACTAAGGTCAGGATACTGGGTACTTCTGTCAGGATACATTGATGGAGGAGAATACTGGGTACTTAGGTCAGGATACATTGATGGAGGAGGAAACTGGGTACTTATGTTAGGATACTTGGTACTTATGTTAGGATACTTGGTACTTAGGTCAGGATACATTGATGGAGGAGGATACTGGGTACTTAGGTCAGGATACATTGATAGAGGAAGATACTGGGTACTTAGGTCTGGATACTTTGATGGAGGAGGATACTGGGTACTTAGGTCAGGATACATTGATGGAGGAGGATACGTGGTACTTAGGTCAGGATACATTGATGGAGGAGGATACTGGGTACTTAGGTCAGGATACATTGATGGAGGAGGATACTGGGTACTTAGGTCAGGATACATGGATGGAGGAGGATACTGGGTACTTAGGTCAGGATACATTGATGGAGGAGGATACTTGGTACTTAGGTCAGGATACTTTGATGGAGCAGGATACTGGGTACTTAGGTCAGGATACATTGATGGAGGAGGATACTGGGTACTTAGATCAGGATTCATGGATGGAGGAGGATACTGGGTACTTAGGTCAGGATACATTGATGGAGGAGGATACTGGGTACTTAGGTCAGGATACATTGATGGAGGAGGATACTGGGTACTTAGATCAGGATTCATGGATGGAGGAGGATACTGGGTACTTAGGTCAGGATACATTGATGGAGGAGGATACTGGGTACTTAGGTCAGGATTCATGGATGGAGGAGGATACTGGGTACTTCTGTCAGGATACATTGATGGAGGAGGATACTGGGTACTTAGGTCAGGATTCATGGATGGAGGAGGATACTGGGTACTTAGATCAGGATTCATGGATGGAGGAGGATACTGGGTACTTAGGTCAGGATACATTGATGGAGGAGGATACTGGGTACTTAGGTCAGGATACATTGATGGAGGAGGATACTGGGTACTTAGATCAGGATTCATGGATGGAGGAGGATACTGGGTACTTAGGTCAGGATACATTGATGGAGGAGGATACTGGGTACTTAGGTCAGGATACATTGATGGAGGAGGATACTGGGTACTTAGATCAGGATTCATGGATGGAGGAGGATACTGGGTACTTCTGTCAGGATACATTGATGGAGGAGGATACTGGGTACTTCTGTCAGGATACTTTGATGGAGCAGGATACTGGGTACTTTTGTCAGGATACTTTGATGGAGGAGGATACTGGGTACTTCTGTCAGGATACTTTGATGGAGGAGGATACTGGGCACTTATGTCTGATACTTTGATGGTGGAGGCCACTTGGTACTTAGGTCAGGATACTTTGATGGAGGAGAAAGGGTATGGGGAAGGGCTGTTCAGGAAGAAGTCCTAAACGGTTGTCATTGAACATTGATACAGATGAGAGAACAGGTTGTGTGTAGTCTCACATAGAAGGACTTTCTTTAAGGAAACCTACAAATCCATTTTCGGTTTCAAAATACTGGCAGCTAGTCTATCTCCTACAGAGCCATGTGTTTGCTCAGGGGGTACAATGAACACAATCAGCCAGGTACACACTTTAAAACCATTATGATGATGTCAGGCTGGTACTGTTGGAGTTGTTTCTGAGCCAGGAATTCACTGGCTGTTCTGAACGTGCACTTCATGCAAGTAAACTGATGCAGTGATAGCTCATTATGCAGAATTATAGAGAAATTATATATGAACCATAACATGGTGTAAGTCCAATCCACATTTAGCCAGTTCTTCAACAAGTGTGGACTCTCGGAGTGAGTGAGTGAGTTTGATTTTACGCCGCTTTTAGCAATATTCCGGCAATATCACGGCGGGGGACACCAGAAATGGGCTTCACACATTGTACCCATGTCGGGAATCGAACCCGGGTCTTCGGCGTGACGAGCGAACGCTTTAACCACTAGGCTACCTGACTTGTGGACTCTCGGAACTGGAACCAAAGGTTCATAGATTAGGAGCTCCTACATAATCTCCTAGTTCAGCTTCTGTTACAGAATATTGTCTCTGGATGTTTTTCAGAAGCCAAAATTTAATTTCTGTTCTGTGTATTTTAATCATGCTAATAGTTCAAACAAATTACCATCATCCTAGCATCAATTCAAAAAGGTTGAAAATAACATTATCTCACTTTCACAGGGTAGCTCAGCTTCTGTTACAGAATAATGTCTCTGGATGTTTATCGACAGCCACTGTAACCATCCAATCTACATTTAACCGGTTCTTCAACCAGTATGGGCACTGGGAACCAGCAACCAAAGAGGTGATAGATTGGGACCCTTTCAGTGGATCTTACATAAATAACACCCGGATCAGCTACTGTCAAGCAGTGAGTCTTTAACCCATTGAACAATTCTGTCTCCGTATCCAACAGTCTGTGATTGATGTATCCATTTATTGAGGAATTTTTGTCCTTGTCAATATCAATGGAATACATCTCACTTCTTCTTTTCAAAGATATCATTTTCTGTCAAAATTTTAAAAACCTCCTGCCCAACCACTCCAGATAGCAGCACGGTTGACAAGGGGAAATGAAGTTAACGAAAGAAAAAATGTTTTTCCTACAATTTCATAAAAAAATATTTATGAATGAATTGCAGTGACTGGAATTTGAGCGAATTCACAAGAATCTGTTTCGCTCAAAACTGGACAAAAAGATTGACAAGTTGAATGGTTCTCGGTGACACTGGGGAGCCCCTGCAAGGACTGTATGAAATGAACTCTCAAAGAAAATGAGTTTTTGCCCAAATCTGATAAAAAAAGGAAGTGAATAGACTTTGCGATGAAGCTTGTCTCAGCTGGGCTTGATGACATGCTCTCGTTGTTACGGCTGACAGCAGGACATGGCAGAAACAGACTTATAACTAGATATCATAATTTAGCCCATGGCTAAGAAATCTTAAAGCACTCCGACTGTCAGGTAAATCTAATTTTGGCGTCAATCATGTTGAAGATATGATTTCAGCGCGATACACAATGGCTTCAGTCAAACGGCAATGATGACAGACAAAGGATGAGGGGAATGGTAACAGCATTACGATTCTTGTTCTTCCTTTGTTATAAATTGATACAATTTGGGGGCCTTTTTTTTCGAGAAATGAAAAGGGTATTTTTTTCATCAGCGGTGACCTCCCCTGTGAAGTCATATTAACAATGTCAAAACTTTGGACTATTTTTAACGTGATTTTCTTTTATCTTTTTCAATTTTGTAATCATTTCTTACCTTTGTTGTTTTTGGTTATAATCTCAAAGTCGTTATTATTCACAATTTACTTGATTATTGTTGATCTGTTTGATGATATTAATAAAATTGTTTTATTATCATGTAATTGCATTCTTATCATGGTGAATTAATTTTCAAATTATGATTGTACATTTTTAGGAAAAATAGTATAAGTTATAGAATTCAGATTCAAATGGGGGAAGGGGTTAAAATTAATGTTAGATTAATTACTGAGATCAATTTTATTTTGTGTTTTAATTATTGTCTAATTTTACTAATTATGTTATATTTTACCGTATAGTATAAAGATACATTTCATATTTCAAATAAAGCTTTTTTCACAAATTTTAAAAAAAGTTAAAGAAAACAACTATTATATCAAGGATACTTTTAATTAAACACACATGTTCTTTCTCCTCTATGTTAACTACGTTTTCTATGTTGACTCACATATAAAATAGATAATTTCTTTCTACCATTAACATAATGATAAATTGAGATTTGACCTATAACCTTTTTCCAAGAGAGCCCCAATATCTTACATAGATAAATGCATTAAAAACTATACAAAAAAGTATTATAAAGAATGACCTCAAATAAAAGAAAAACAAATATCACATATATCATGAGCAGTGAAAAAAAAGTATTTTTTTATTTATACTGAATTTTGCAATGTGATTGATGGATAAAGTTGCCTAACGAGAATCTTAAACAAAGGCTTGATCTAATTCCAGTACGATTTATACATTAAGATGGACACCATGGGAAGGATTATAATTTCATGGTCATCAAATGTCAACCCAGAGCAAATGGACTCAATGTTCTCGTATTTGTCTTCCGTCATCACAGAATGCTTGCTGGCCACAAGATCAGGAACTGATGTCAAGATCTATATGAATTATTGTCACTTAATTGACAAGACCTGAGGATAAAAAGCATTTACCCTTTGTCATAATAAAAGATTGATGAATACAATTGCTCCTAGTAATGAAACAATATCAGCAGTGGTTGGATGTCGGGGTTGGAGTTGGGTGCGTGGCAATTAGTCTCGTTATATCTCCCCGTGCTGCACACTCCTAGCAGGATATGCTACTGGTTTCCAATCACTGGCTTGCAAGTTGCTAAAAAAATATATTAAGAAGTAGAATAATGTTTTGTTAGGTAATCAAATTGTTACGCTTGTTGTTTCGATATGGTGGATCCCTGTTATATGAGCATGAGGGAAACAGTCCTGACAGAGGGTTGATATTAATATTAATTACCTATAGAGATAGACATAACTGAGTTTATAAAAATCATGTGTGCACTAGTGCAAATATCGCTTCTCGCGAACCAGGTTATTGTTCTCATCATTTCGGACGGCATTGTTGACTTCATTTGAAACTTATTGTGACGTAAGATCGGAGATGTCACTCTAGAAACAATGTCGTAGCTGAAGATTGTTGACGTCATTCAACAAATTGTGTTTTTCTAGGACAGCGGTGGTGATCAGCATTTTTCTAAGGGGAGCTCAAAAGGATTAAGAAATAATGGGTAATAATGGAATTATTACACCCACATGTGTGTTATACTGATTTTATGAAACTCGTGTAAGAATTAGTGTATTACCCTTGCTCTCGCACAGGAAATAATCTCTATTTGTCATCCTAAAACTTGCTTCCATAGGATATATTGCTTGGGTATGATCTCCAAGGAAATATCACTACAATGAAATTGTGATGTCCGTGTGATGCTATCAGTTACCATGACATTACAATCAAATGACATCAGTAATCACTCTGACACTGAAGGTGGTTAGCTGTACTTTTGACATTCAAGACACTGGTCAAAAAGTTGAAAGAATCATTTTGGATGATCGATAGAATCTCACTCTTATGTCTTTTGAAATCAAAAGTCCATTGTATAATTAGTGTCATTTCAGTCCATAGTATCATTAGTGTCATTTCTGTCCATAGTATCATTAGTGTCATTTCAGTCCATAGTATCATCAGTGTTTTTTCAGTCCATAGTGTCATTAGTGTCAATTCAGTCCATAGTATCAATTGTGTCATTTCAGTCCATAGTATCATTAGTGTTATTTCAGTCCATAGTGTCATTAGTGTCATTTCAGTCCATAGTGCCATTACCGTCATTTCAGTCCATAATGCCATTAGCGCCATTACAGTCCATAGTGTCATAAGTGTCATTTCAGTCCATAGTGTCAGTGTCATTTCAGACCATAGTGCCATTAGTGTCATTTCATCCATAGTATCATTAGTGTCATTTCAGTCCATAGTGTCATTTCAGTCCATAGTGTCAGTGTCATTTCAGTCCATAGTGTCAATTGTGTCATTTCAGTCCATAGTATCATTAGTGTTATTTCAGTCCATAGTGTCATTAGTGTCATTTCAGTCCATAGTGCCATTACCGTCATTTCAGTCCATAATGCCATTAGCGCCATTACAGTCCATAGTGTCATAAGTGTCATTTCAGTCCATAGTATCAGTGTCATTTCAGACCATAGTGCCATTAGTGTCATTTCATCCATAGTATCATTAGTGTCATTTCAGTCCATAGTGTCATTAGTGTCATTATAGTCCATAGTGTCATTAGTGTCATTTCATCCATAGTATTATTAGTGTCATTATAGTCCATAGTGTCATTAGTGTCATTTCAGTCCAAGGTGCCAATAGTGTCATTTCAATCCATAGTGTCAGTGTCATTTCAGTCCATAGTGTCATTACTGTCATTTCAGTCCATAGTGTCATAAGTGTCATTTCAGTCTGTAGTGCCATTAGTGTCATTTCAGTCCATAGTGTGTTATGTGTCATTTCAGTCTGTAGTGCCACTGAAATATGTAGGGTCTTTGCAGTCTGTAGTATCATTAGAACATCTTACAATCTGAGTTCACAGACAGACCAAGTTGATCTTAAGTGACTCAACAGACTTGCTGGGTCTTTGCCCTCTTGAAAATAATGACCTTTGCTATATCTTATTTCTCGCCTCTATGCAAGTGCACACATTTCATAATTACCTACCACATTTATGTAATGATCCAGAACTTCCTTCTAAGGCTAAATCCTGCATGTACATTATAACCGTGGTCTGTGATACTTGTGAAGGGGATGTGCTAATCCCAGGAGATGCATATACCTACCCACCCAAGAAGTCAATGTTACAACCAGTGCAGGGATTCCTGTGTAAGACACTCTCCATGGAAACACCTGTGTCACCAGGGAGAACAGTACAGCAGCTTTTATAATAAATCTAGCCCCTATATGATAACAATCACTGATTTTAATAGTTTAATTAGCTTCAATCTGTTCTTAAGATGACAATCAATGTTCCGCATTTTGATAGTGGTTCAGATGTAATCTGCACTTCAACTGGTAACAAGTTGAAAAGATGTCTTTTCACCAAGATTAGCTCTCGACTGTGGCGGTGCGAGTCATTGTTAGAGGGAGGGACACATTGACACATTGTTTAGCATAGATGCGAGAACGGGATTATACTTGCCAATCTGAAATGACTGATCTCCCAGGCAAATCTCTTTAATAATAGAGACGGATAGATGAAATCAGGCTTTGAATGACTCGGGAAAATTGTGGGTTTATCATCTGTTACAGTTGAAAGGAATTATTACATCAACGATAATTCTCAATTTTCTCGCCCTGTCCTGTAAAATGTTTCCTGAAAATTATATGGCCCGTCCATCGTCCTGATGGAAGTCAGTAAATAAGATTTTTTGGTGTTTAATTATGACGAACGACGCTGCTACCAGCCTGGAAATGCCGTCATTACAATATCACGATTATGGCTTAGGTGTAAGGAATCTTCACCTTGCAAAGTCGAGCTGTTAATTGTTTTGACACACTAATTAACCCTGGTGACTCGGGACAACTGGGATCACGGCCCTCATGTCGCCAAATGGAGTCTTTGACTAACGATTTTTCTGCTTTGCCGAACACGACTCTTCGGACGAGATGGCGGGAAATGTGCCAAAGATGCGTTAGATCCTGGGAATAGAAGGAAGAGGGTTGCTCTGAGATCATATCAGGGGCATTAGGATGGCAAAGGAGTCAACGCGTTATTAATGCATGATGTCTGATTTCATGAGAGCGTTATGATTGATGTACTTGGAAGCCACGCTCTTTGTCATCCAGGGCTTCGTCTGGCCCTTCATCATCATTGGGCCGCAGTGATAGCATATTGTAATTGTAGAATATGCATTCAAATTACCCTGTTGCCAACAATGGGCAGCCAACATGAGCATTATGTCAAAAAGCCGTGTTTACATCCACTGTGGTACGACTTACAGGACATTTGGGCTTTGTCTGACGCTTGATTTATGAAATCAATCTTCGTGGACTGTAATGAAATTTTCTCATAGAAGGAAATGCACTTCTGAATGAAATTATTACACTAGAAGACGATAGTGAAAAGTTGCAGTCCTGACTGATTTCCATGGGGTGTCATTTTTGCTGTATGGGCCATATCAATATCTCATCCATAATTTTCAACAATCTGATATTAGATGTCATTAATCATGGCAAAGGGTGCCAGCAATATTAACATCTTGTCGCCATCTTGCCTCTATTAGTTTCTTCTATTCTTACTCGCCCATTTCAATGAGTAGCAGCAATTCCTAATATTGTTTATTACGCTTCATACGATGATGATGGTTTTCATCAATTCCTGCATATCATATATAATCACTTTCCTTGAGACGTAATAGCCCTGTTGGGACTTACGCCTGTTATATATTTCTGATTGATGACAGGTATTTTGCACTTTGCATTCGAGAGCCCAGTTTACCCTACCATCAATTATGTGCGTCTTTTGAAAGCGTCGCTTGTTCAATTGGAGTTTATCTTCGAAAATCTTGACGAGTGGGATGTGAATTGAATTCAACAGCAGTGGGGATACAAGACTAGGAAAGGAATAGTATTTGTGTGCAAGTTACTGCATGATTAAGGTCATCTATTATCTTCCCTCCGCTTCTGTAGGGGAGAAAAAATGGCGCAAGACACATTACTCATCTTGTGTAATTGAAACTTACTTTTCTTGTGGTTTTATATGCCAAGTCATAACATGGAGAGAAGTGGTTCCAGGAGTGTTGACTGTGTTGGTGATGGACCAATGCTTCTCTTGAGCTCTAGGTACAGAAATTTTATCGGAATACTTTGTATTTTCAATGATTTGTTTCTGGAGATAAAATTCCCTCACCATCTTATATGAATTCTGATTCTGTACTTTACATAACGATCGAGAAAAAAAATGAATGTATTTTTTTGGAAATTACAATTTGAGTCATAAATTTAAGAAATCGTTACATAAGGGAATCATTTTATTGGGAAATATGTTCCGATGTGGTTGCTTTGTTATAAAGATCAAATATTTTATATTTATATATTTTATCAAAATTGGATTTATGTTGATTTTAGTCATATGAATTATAAAGGTTATTAAGAAGACAGAAGATGACATATACTGACCTTATTCTTGTTCTAAACAAAGCGTTATGTGTCAGAGTTAAGGTGACACTGACAACAGCATTAGTTGCTTTGTTTTTGACCAGTCATTTGACATTTTTCTTAACCTTTCTTGAAACCACATCAGTTAGTGTCTTCTGTTCTCCTGCATAAGCAACTGAGTGTGCTGGATAGAAGAAGCTGTTGATATGATGGTGACACAATGATGAAGTTATAGGTCAGAAGGATGGGGAGAAATAATATGTCAACTGTTAACCAGTGTTAGAGGATACTGGCTGGGAATATGATTGTATTGACAGTGGGGAACAGGAACATCTCGGGGGAAGTCTGCCTAGTGCTGGGGGGAGGATGGGGAAGACAGTGTTAGATGATAAATGTGTGGTGGTTCATTGGTAAGTGTGTAGGCAGACTTACAGGTAGGTGTGTAGGTGGCTGGTGTGTGTAGGCAGGCTGGTAGGTGTGTAGGCAGACTTACAGGTAGGTGTATAGCTGGCTGGTAGGTGTGTAGGCAGACTTACAGGTAGGTGTGTAGTAGGCAGAGTAGGTAAGTGAGTTGGTGTGTAGGGGGAGGGTAGGTAGGTTGCTGGTAGGAGGGAGGGTAGGTGGGTGGGTGTGTAGGAGGGAGGGTAGGTGGGTGGGTGTGTAGGGGGATGGGTAGGTGGGTGGGTGTGTAGGAGAAGGGTAGATATGTAGGGGATAGGGTGTGTAGGAGGGAGGGTGGGTGGGTGTGTAGGGGGGTGAGTAGGAGGGTGTGTAGGAGGGTGGGTAGGTGGTTGTATGTGTAGGAGGATGCGTAGGTGAGTGGGTGTGTTGGGGGCAGGTAGATGGGAGGGTGTGTAGGGGATGGGTGTGTGTGTGTGTAGGGGGACAGGTTGGGGTGTAGGGGTCTGGTAGACGGGTAGGTGTGTAGAGGGATGGGTGGGTGGCTGTTGAGGGAGGGTGGGTCATTAGGCAGGAAAGCAAATCAAACGTAATTAGGCTCATTGAAGCAATAAATTGACGAATGGGTAAGTTTGTAAATAACATTTAGCGTCTGTCTGTGGTGTACCAGTGTGAACGTCAACACAGTTTCCTGAATTCTGATTACAAACAGACATCCTGTGTCATGTCTTGCCCTGTTGTGGATACATGCTAAATAACGCTAATGGTGTTCATCTGTTACTGGTTGGGGGAGTGACATTTTGTCATGAATATGATACACATGCACATGAATCCTAAAGGTTACAGAGATTCATTATGAATCATTGTTTGCACCGAAAACACAGCTTTGAGTGAGTGAGTGAGTGAGGTTGATGCTGCTTTTTAACAGTGTTTCAGTTGTATCATGAAAAGTGGTTGGAAAGCCCAAGGTTGAGACACGTGTCACTTTAATGAAATCCTCAGGTATTGATATGGTGCTGGCAAATCATGGATCAAGGCTCAAGGTGGTTCTATGATTTGATTTTTACGCTTGTTGTTTTACTCCACAGTTAGAAATATTAAAACTGTATTACAGCAGCAAGTATGTAATCATCATCATCATCATCATCATCATCATCATCATCACCATCATCATCATCAACATCATCATCATCATCATCATCATCATCATCATCATCATCGTTATCATCACAGCAGCAGTGTCATGGTGGGTAGGCAAGTTGGAGGGTGTGTGTGCAGGCAGGTGGGAGGGTGGGTGTGTAGGCAGGTTGGAGGGTTGGATGGGTAGGCAGGTGGGAGGGTGGGTGTGTAGGCAGGTTGGAGGGTTGGATGGGTAGGCAGGTTGGAGGGTGTGTGGGTAGGCAGGTTGGAGGGTGGGTCTGTAGGCAGGTGGGAGGGTGTGTGGGTAGGCAGGTTGGAGGATGTGTGTGTAGGCAAGTTGGAGGGTGTGTGGGTAGGCAAGTTGGAGGTTGTGTGTGTAGGCAGGTTGGAGGATGTGTGTGTGGAGGCAGGTTGGAGGGTTGGATGGGTAGGCAGGTTGGAGGATGTGGGTGTGTAGGCAGGTTGGAGGGTGGGTGTGTAGACAGGTTGGAGGGTTGGATGGGTAGGCAGGTGGGAGGGTGGTTGTGTAGGCAGGTTGGAGGGTTGGTGTGTAGGCAGGTGGGAGGCTGGTTGTGTAGGCAGGTGGGAGGCTGGTTGTGTAGGCAGGTTGTAGGGTGGGTGTGTAGGCAGGTTGGAGGGTGGTTGTGTAGGCAGGTTGGAGGGTGGTTGTGTAGGCAGGTTGGAGGGTGTGTGTGTAGGCAGGTTGGAGGATGTGTGTGTGGAGGCAGGTTGGAGGGTTGGATGGGTAGGCAGGTTGGAGGATGTGGGTGTGTAGGCAGGTTGGAGGGTGGGTGTGTAGACAGGTTGGAGGGTTGGATGGGTAGGCAGGTGGGAGGGTGGTTGTGTAGGCAGGTTGGAGGGTTGGTGTGTAGGCAGGTGGGAGGCTGGTTGTGTAGGCAGGTGGGAGGCTGGTTGTGTAGGCAGGTTGTAGGGTGGGTGTGTAGGCAGGTTGGAGGGTGGTTGTGTAGGCAGGTTGGAGGGTGGTTGTGTAGGCAGGTGGGAGGGTGGTTGTGTAGGCAGGTTGGAGGGTGGGTATGTAGGCAGGTGGGAGGGTGGTTGCGTAGGCAGTTGGGAGGGTGGTTGTGTAGGCAGGTTGGAGGATGTGTTTGTGGAGGCAGGTGGGAGGGTGGTTGTGTAGGCAGGTGGGAGGGTGGTTGTGTAGGCAGGTTGGAGGGTGTGTGTGTAGGCAGGTGGGAGGGTGTGTGTGTAGGCGGGTTGGAGGGTTGGGTGGGTAGGCTATTAGGTGTAGTAACATGATACAATTTAGTTATAGTTCACAGGCCCATGTAGTTTCTGCATACTATCTTCTTCCCTAGTCTCTCTACTATAAGCTCAGCCCTTTCATATTGTTTTGTAACAAAAATTGGAATAGGCCATGTTCTAATTGTTAAATGCCAGGCCACTATTATTTTTGTTTTGGTATGAAACTACTTCATACTCATTAGTATCCAATAAAAAAAATGGAATAATCTTGACATTCATATATGTAATATCAAAACCTGATTTCGAACCAGACAGTACCAAACATTATTGATCACCCTAAAAAAAAATTCATACAGCATGTTTTAAATGTCCTGCATGATTATGACAAACATTTTTTTAACTTTCATGGATGAAAACCCCAAAGTGGCAACTCTTTATGTCAGACCAATCAGGGACAGGTATATGTATGTTTTGCGGAAATAACGCAAGAATCGACATCATATCATTGTTATACACTGCAATATTTGCGTCTGGCATGGCAGACAGCATGGCTGGGATTGAAACTGATGTGAATTATTCAGAAACTAAACTGCAGCTTTCTAATCCACTGAAACATTCGGACAATTTATCGCACTTTACACACCGACTCATTTGTTAGATTGCAGCGGACAACAACTACTTTTGTTTCCAAATAGACTGTTGTATGTGCTATCTAAATGATTTACTGCTCAGACCAAAATGTAGTAAAATTATTGGGGGATTGATCACTGCAGGGACTCAACATTGTCGGCGCGGGGACTAGACATTCTCGGGGATGGAGTTACTTTGTACCTGTACTCTGCCCCATAACGAGTCTTTTGCCAGAAGTATGCCAAACCCCAGTAGACTGGACACACAAAAAACATGATGACTTTAGTCGCAAATTGTGTCGGATAATTCATAGTTATTGCACATCCGAGCCACATTTAGAATGGCAAAATGCTTTCAAATGAGGCGTCAAATCTTGGGACACATTTTAAAGTGTTATAGCGATCCCTCAGCATGTACAAATCTTATTCGCCTGCCACTTGTATGATTTTGCGTATGAAAAACATCGTTTGCTGAAACAATGCCAGCGTTTTCATCTCGTTTGTTTAAACGTCAGGAGACCAACTTTCCTCGGACCATGGCCGACACCCTATAAAGGTTGTTTTTTGATGAAATGGAAAATGTAACCACATTATTTGTGACTTGAGGGTGTATCCAACGCTGAAAATGCAATTTCTGCTATTAGGTCGCCATTTCGTAGACAAAATTGATCTGTAATGTCAAGCAAGGAATTTGCTCTTTGACAAATTTGCTGGAGGCCCTGACTCTTAGTGGCCTTCCCCGGCTTCAATGACATCCAAACTCCTTCCCCTCATCAATTAATGGTTTCATCATTGATTTGTTTTTAAAATCATTCAAACTTAAAAACAACAACTTACAAAGTAGGGACTTTTTTCTCATTTCCAGGATAGACTCATGTTAATGTTTGCATTGTGAATAAAGGGTAAAACACAGGGGTACCGGAGCAATAACAGCTGTGGATGATGATGATGATGATGGTGAAGGTGATGGTGATGATTGTGATGATGATATTGAGTATGTTGACAAGAATTAGGTTGGAGAGCATGATGATGATGGTGATGAGGGCGAGCAGGATGTTGATGATGATGATGTTGGTGATGATGATATTGAGTATGTTGACAAGAATGAGGATGTTGATAGTGATGAGGATGTTGATGATTATGATGTTGATGATTATGATGTTGATGAGAATGATGATGGTGATGATGATAATGTTGATGATTATGATGTTGATGATGAGGAGGAGGATGTTGATGATGATGATGATGTTGATGAGAATGATGATGGTGATGATGATAATGTTGATGATTATGATGTTGATGATGAGGAGGAGGATGTTGATGATGATGATGATGTTGATGATGATGTTGATGAGAATGATGATGGTGATGATGATAATGTTGATGATTATGATGTTGATGATGAGGAGGAGGATGTTGATGATGATGATGATGTTGATGAGAATGATGATGGTGATGATGATAATGTTGATGATTATGATGTTGATGATGAGGAGGAGGATGTTGATGATGATGATGATGATGATGATGATGTTGATGAGAATGATGATGGTGGTGATGATAATGTTGATGATTATGATGTTGATGATGAGGAGGAGGATGTTGATGATGATGATGATGTTGATGAGAATGATGATGGTGATGATGATAATGTTGATGATTATGATGTTGATGATGAGGAGGAGGATGTTGATGATGATGATGATGTTGATGAGAATGATGATGGTGATGATGATAATGTTGATGATTATGATGTTGATGATGAGGAGGAGGATGTTGATGATGATGATGATGATGATGATGATGTTGATGAGAATGATGATGGTGGTGATGATAATGTTGATGATTATGATGTTCATGATGGTGGTGGTGATGATGTTGATGATGCTGATGAAGCTGCTGCTGATGTTGTTGCTGCTGCTACTGATGCTGCTGCTGATGTTGCTGCTGCTGCTGCTGCTACTGATGATGATGTATACCATATTTGTAGTGTATGTATGTATTATGCGCACCTCCCTCTACACAGCTGTATTTGTGTGGGAAAAGCGATCACTGTACACAAGAATATATGATACTTGTATAAATACCAGGACAGCACACAAACCATTATTTACAAAACACGTTTTAACCTCGCATACTACATCATGTACCTCACTGAAGAAACAAGCCTATAGATATCCACGTTAAACAAAAATCTTTAATGGTGTGGAAAATTACCTAGTGATGTACATCATATTACGCAGCTCACTGACCTAGTTATGTAACTGTTTTGACAAGTTTACCTGCAAAAACAGCTGCAGAGATGGATAAACATATTACTGAATGTCACTGACGTCCTGGTCGTGGTATGGAACAAAAACCTCAGGAATTAGAAAGTATTGTCTGCTCTTGTAGGTGTCCCTTCCACTTGAATTATCATCTCATTTTGTGAGTTTCCACTCTATCGCATACAGTGTGTGTCCGCTGCCAATATTTGGTAGTTACCGACAGGATTCCCTAACCATGCTACTGTGCTTCATCAGATCCTCCTATTACAATCAGAAGTATCCCGAAAAGCCAATTCTCACAGCTGGGATAATATTTCAATCTACGACATTCTGATTTGGTTCTGGATTGTGGGCAGTCAGAGCCTCTGTACTGTTCTTCGGTTCTGAGGCATTGATTGTGTTTTCTTTGTTTTGGTTTTTAAGATTGTGTTATTTGGTACTTTGCATAAATATGAAGATAAGTAATTTAATTTATACTTGGAGAACCTTCACTTAACCTTCCCCTGTGGGGATTCTGTTGCAGGTCCCCAGTACCCCATGCTTGTCTCCCTGTGGGGATTCTGTTGCAGGTGCCCAGTACCCCATGCTTGTCTCCCTGTGGGGATTCTGTTGCAGGTGCCCAGTACCCCATGCTTGTCTCCCTGTGGGGATTCTGTTGCAGGTGCCCAGTACCCCATGCTTGTCTCCCTGTGGGGATTCTGTTGCAGGTGCCCAGTACCCCATGCTTGTCTCCCTGTGGGGATTCTGTTGCAGGTGCCCAGTACCCCATGCTTGTCTCCCTGTGGGGATTCTGTTGCAGGTGCCCAGTACCCCATGCTTGTCTCCCTGTGGGGATTCTGTTGCAGGTGCCCAGTACCCCATGCTTGTCTCCCTGTGATGATTCTGTTGCAGGTGCCCAGTACCCCATGCTTGTCTTCCTGTGGGGATTCTGTTGCAGGTGCCCAGTACCTCTACTTGTACCCATGTCGTGATTCCAGGTCAGAATACACAGGTGTCCCAGTACCCCATGCTCGTCTTCCTGTGGGGATTCTGTTGCAGGTCCCCAGTACATCTACTTGTACCCATGTCGTGATTCCAGGTCAGAATACTCCCCCAGTACCCCTACTTGCACCATGTGGTGATTCCAGGTCACAATACACCCCCAGTACCCCTACTTGTACCCATGTCGTGATTCCAAGTCATTCCGGGTACATCTACTTGTACCCATGTAGTGATTCCAGGTCAGAATACCCTCCAGTACTTCTACTTGTACCCATGTGGTGATTCCAGGTCATTCCCAGTACCCCTACTTGTACCCATGTGGTGATTCCAGGTCATTCCCAGTACCTCTAGTTGTACCCATGTGGTGATTCCAAGTCATTCCCAGTACCTACTTGTCACAAAGGTCAAGGGATGGTTTCAATGTGCATTTGCCTGGCTGACCGTGGCTCATCAGGACCTGACAGCAGGATGTTGCTCTTGTCCTACATTCGGTTATTTACAGCATATAACAACACACGCACTGGCCCAGCCCACCTCCCGCTCACTCACTCACTCACTCACTTGCTCAGTCACTCACCCTGCCACTCACTCACCCACCCATGCACCCACCCACCCACCTACTCACCCATCCACCCACTCACCCACTCACTCACTCATTCACTCATGCACCCACCCACCCACTCACTCACTCACTCATGCACCCACCCGCCGCCCCACCCACTCACTCACTCATTCACCCATGCACCCATCCACCCACCTACTCACCCATTCAATCACTCACTCACTCACTCATGCACCGCCCCACCCACTCACTCACTCATTCACTCATGCACCCACCCACCCACCAATTCACTCACTCACTCACTCACTCACTCACTCACAAGGCTACTGTCTGGGTTCAAATCTCCACAAAAGTTTGTAACTGTCAAGCAACACACTAAATCTTCACTTCATCATTCCACAAAATGTTTTGTTCCTGTTATTTAAAAACTGATCATTATTTTACAGTAGAAATGATAGAAAAAGGCTTTGCTATAATAGATGTTGGAATGTGATACAGACATATCCATAACACTTTTAGCATTGATCCCAGTTAGGTCTGGCAACATACAGAGAAGGAAGTGGGAATAATTGAAGCTTATGCAAAAACTGCTTATTTTGATGTGAGAAAAACACCATCTTTAGATTATGGAGCAAGTGAATCCGGGAAGGAAAGATGAATTACAAAATGGGGAACGACAAGTTTTTTTGTCACTGATGAATTTGCTGTGGACAAGCATACAGATATTGGTAAGTTAAGTGACAAAGTAATTATGAAAGTTGTGAACGTGAGCACCTTCTCCCTGATGAATTCAGCAAGTAAGTATATAAGGAACATGTTGCTGGACTTTGATGGAGCATATGTCCAGTGCTCTTCTCATGTTTGGAAAACCTTGTCTAGCTTTCACCCACTTGTATGCTACATAGCCAGGTCATTTCAAACTGTGTCATAGATTGGAAGCTTTTAAGGAGAGCTCAGATATGGAAATGAATTCAGATTTGTAGGGGTTGTGGGGCTGCTTAGTGGTTAAAGAGTTTGCTCGTCATGCAAGACCTGGGTTTGATTCCCAACATGGGTTCAATGTGTGAAGCCCATTTCTGGTGTCTCTCGTTACAATATGGCTGGAATATTGCGAAAAGGGGCACAAAAAGCATGTTCACTGACTCAGGTGTTATGTATTTTTAATGAGAATGTTGTGAACTGGTTGGGCCAATCCGGTAATCAGAGCCCATTAGAAGATGATTTGCATTATGGAAAGGGAGATAACTCTAAAACATATCAAGGCAAGTAATGTAGAGGGGGGGGGAACTCAAGACATGTCATGCGTTTTATTTTGTATCAATATGTGTGTTAAATAGTTTATTAAACCCTACCAAAAGTGAAGAAAATGACTCTATATACAGTATTTATTATTATATATGAGGCACACAGGTGGTCCATTCATCTTAGGTGCCACAATTTTCTGTGCAGAGTTACGTCCCATGGGCTTGCGAGGAACCTATGATTGTGGTTCAAATCCCAATTTGCTCTGATTTTGTTTTAAGTTTGTCAGGACCATACCCATGCTCATGGGTTTCACCAAAGTGGTAAACGTCAGACCTGCATCACTTGGGGCTTTCCTCCCACACATCAAGCTGGCACGCTGATATGTAACTGGAAAACTGTTAAAGCGGCAATAAACCTCACTCACCAACTCACAATACATTACATTATTTGGTAACCGCAAGTTCCCCCAAAATGGAAGTGAGATAATCAAGAAGCTAAACTATTTGAAAACTTTGTGTGTTCTTGCATTGGTATGGTATTTGTGACAGAACAAAAACATATGCTGAAGACAGCTTGTGATTTAACGCGTAGTAAGTAAGCGTTCTTCCTCACAGTAAACGAAATGTGTGAGAGACCAAAACAACGCATCAAGTTCAGGTGTTTTTTAAGTCTAAATGGATGTGACTGCAGACATACTTTTTAAATCTGTGTATAAGTGGTCCTTCTTGGTTTTTTCTACTATTTCATTGACAACCCTATTCCCCCATCTGATAAAACCCAAAGTTGAAAGGTCCTAGGTTTGTAAAGTAATATGATGTTTTTTTGGTTGTCTACAATTTCTTTGTTCAGAAGGTATTGTTGCTTGCATGCACAAAGACATAACTACTCTTCTCCTCCATTCATCTGTTTGGGTCTGGGAACAGGGAATTGCCCACCGCTGTCAGATATGAAAGAAAACATCGGGTGCTTTCTGTGCCAGACGACTAGGCTGAATAATCAGTAACACATTTAATTAAATCATTCATTGAGCAAAAATGTGATCTGCAGGTGTTAAATCATTTAGAAATTGGTGAGGGCATTATTTTAGTTTAAATTAATCAAAATTTCACTCAATCCATTAAACCATATTGATGACGTCAGATATTGTTGCAGTTGATTCAGAGACAGGTATCCACTGGCTTTTCTGAACAGTTAAAACAAAAGCAACGATTGGTCATTATGGAAAGTTATGGAGAAATATTTTTGTATATCACTGCCACTTGTGCATAATTGTGCATGTGCGTGTGTGTGTTTTCAGCCACATACAGGTACATATTGTGGGGGTGGGGTGGGGTTTGGTGGTAATGATTGATCATGTACACAAAAACTTGTCCTTCATCATGACTGTGGAATATAATATATATATTATGGAACTATAACCAATAGAGATTATGAATAAGCAAGTCTTTCCAACCTTGGGAAATTTCTTCAGAGGAGAAAAATGTATTGTGTAATAAAAGATTTCATGGACTATGTGTCAGTAGGGGTGACTATTGGTCTGGAAATCACTATTGCGATAACTATTGACATTGAAAGAAACTATTGCGATAACTATTGATATTGCAAGCAACTATTGCGATAAATATCGATAGTTTTCAGTGTGTCATTTAAGAGGGATTTTAGAGTTAAATTGGAACTGAAGTTTCCTTTGAATGTGATAACCATAACAACAAATAAAAAGTAAAGTTTGAGATATGACTGATTCTTTACTCTAATAATTTAAGAAAAAGAAACTTCCACATTACCA